CCCCCAAAAAAAAAAAAATCCTTGGCCAACTCGTAAGGCTGGAATCTCCGCTCGTTTAAATCCCAAATGAGCTTCGTCCTCAGGGATCAGCTAATTAAGAGGCAAACGAGATGCCGGCTGCTTCGCTCCTCATGGGTTTGAATCGACCCCCCCCTTTAAAATCTCTCAACAACCCTAAAATAGCATTTTTTAGGAGGAAAACTGAGGCTGGACAAGGAGCATCAAAGCCAAAAATGGGGAGAAAGTGGGTTTTTGCTCCCTCCCCCCCCTTGCAGCAGGTGAAAAAAAGATATAAAAAAAAAAGCTGGAAACTCGGAAAAAAGTGGGGAAAAAAGGTCTTTTACCCACAGTAGGGAAAAAAAAAAAGTGGTTTATTTGGGGTGAAAAGCGCTAAAATCAGCAAAAGATCTGAGGAACTGAAGCCGAGATGCGACAGTTGGAGAAGCCCACAACGCGCTGAGATTTGGGGAGAAAAGAGAGATTTTCTGGCAAATCCTAACCGAAAATAAATATCAAAAAATCAAAAATCATAAGCAATCTCCCCCCCTGGACCCTGTTTTCCCCCGATTTTCCCCTAAAAGTGCCCTGACGCCCACGTGGGATTTAAAGGGTGAGAGAAGATAAAGGCGTCGCTTCTAGAGGGAGGCTGTAATAAGGCCAGGCAGGTAATTAAGTGGAAAATTAACGAAGGGAGACGCTCAGCGCCGCCTGACGAGGTTGTTTTCCAGCCTCCCGATGCCTGGAGCTGCCCCGCGGTGGGGAGTTACGAAACATTCCCTTTCTTCACATGGGATTTACCTTTTTTCCAGCAAAAAGAAAAAAAAAAAGCCCTTTCCCCCCACCCCAACCCCCTTCCCAGCATCGGAGCGGAACAAACACCAGGAGAAACGGAGCCAAAAGGGAGGATTTTAATTAATTTTCAGCTTCGTCACAAATTAGAGGCAAAAAGTGGGGGGAAAACTTGATTCCAACCCAAACCCGATGGTGGTTTTTCACCCCCAGCCGAGCCAGGAGCTGCAGATCCTTCACCCAAGCCCATGGAGCAGCAGCACAGCTTCCCCCCCCCCCCCCCCCC